AAATTGAAATTGAATTTAATTGAAGTGACACAAAAGTTAAAGGAGTTATATAAATGTAACAATCTTATTCTAATAAGAAAATAGCTGAGACCTTAAAGTTACTCGTACATTCTTGATGTTTAGTCTGAAGGTTTTTAAGGTGTCATCTGCTAAAAAATTGAAAAACTACAAAAATACTTAAAATAGTGATCTTTATTGCGGAATTATTACAATCAAAATCAAGAATATATGGGCCAGATTATAAATGGATTGTGTGTATTTTAGTGTTTCTCTCTGAAACTGCACATAAACTACTGAAGTCTTGGTTCCCATCAATTTAATTTGAACTCCGGACCAGCAGGGGCGCTACGCCGTTACACTCCTTTCAAAAAGTGGCAAAGTGAGACGGCTATTCCGTTTTAAACTATTTTCCCTTCTTCCTTTGCGCTGCGCTGCCGCTGCGACAGCCGTTGGTCGGGACGCACTCCCCCTCTTCTGCTGGGCCCATCTCCCCCTCTCTGCGCTCCTCCTCAACTTCGACTTGCAGTAAGCTGACTCGGTTGATTAGATTAGCACCTTTCTTGCCGCGTTGGCTCAGAGATCCCCGCTCCCCCCCCCCCCTATCTCTCTCTGTCTTTTCCTCCCTCCTCTCTCACTCTGTCTCTCTCTCACACACAGACAAATTCACTCTACCCTCTCCCTCTCTCTCATATTATACAGCGATGTTGTAAAGACCTATTTCGATGTACAATAAATGCTATACCCGGGGTTATACCCGGTTTACTTCCTTCCCTCTTTTCCCCTCCCACACAGAAAATGTAATCCACCCATTAGAACTTTTGCAATCGGAGAGTGAGAGCGTTCACCCTGCGTTCTCAGGAGAATTATTCCTCCCCGTAGTCGACAGCGATTAGCGTCGCGATCCTGTTTTTTTCCCTCTATTTTTTTGTAGCGGCCGCGAGGGGCAGCAGACGTGCGTGGCTGGGCCGTTGGCCCTGGGCGCCGGCCGGCTAGCCTGAGAATAAGGAGGGTGGGGGTGCTCTATGGCTAGACGGACCTGTCAATATCAAAAATTTGGACTGACTTTTAACGAATGCTGCAAAAACAGCAGGTGCAAAACGGATTCACAGTCATTAGAAAAATAAGCAATAAAACTGAATAAATAGGCCGTCTGATTCTTACGATTTGACTCGAGATTTGACTAAAAATGCGATTAGAGCATTGGCCATCCGACCCTCACCACCGCTCTCCCACATATATTTCCCCTCATTCAGTCTTTGGCCTGCTTGGCCAAACTCACACACATAAATAATTCCATGCATACGGTAAGAACAGATTTTCAATCGATATCCCTTTGCCGCTGTAGAGAGGGGAGGGAAAGGAGGGGCACCCCTCATCGTCCGAGGGTGGATCTATCTGATTTAAAATGAGATTCAATATGTATACGGAATGCGGGCGCGAGGATATGGCGGAACAATCTGTGCAATCCCGTGGGTCTTGCCGGGGTGACCCATTCTTACGGATCCAAATTTACATTATTGTTCACAAGCGTTGGAATCCTCGAGGGGAAATTGCGGTGGTTTCGGGATGGTTACATATCTAAGAAGATAGATATGAAATCTTGTTCAGTTCATGAATGTCAATGCAATAATGAATGACCCAAATGCTATTGCCACATAGTTTCATATCCCCCCCGCCAGGCTAATTTTCTGTGGCGTAAATACGAGAGAGATAGATAGTATATATAGATGATATAGACAAAATAAAAGGACAAAAGAAAAAACAGCAGCTGGCCGCGCGGTCGGACGGCACAATCCAAAGACTACGGTCATGGGGCCTGCGTGTCCGATTTGGCACCCCTTTGCCTCCCGCCG